TCCAACTCACCATCAACGGTCTTATTAGTGCTTTTACTGTCCTAAGTGGACATTTACACTCCAGCACAATACCTTGAGAACAATGCTAAAGCATTAGGACCAGGACCTTTGGCTTTTCCTATGCTGCATGTTGTACATGTAACTGGTCCTTCATTATGTGTGCATCACTAATCTAAGCGGTAGTATGCCACTACAGTTTATAATCCATATTTCTTAGCAACACTTTTGCCTACTGTCTCTGACTTAACCTTGCATTATATTATTGTTACACGTCTGCTTTGTTTTACTTATAATACTGATATTGAGTGTACTTGTTGATTACCTGGAGGGGAGATGTTTTCTGCCATGTTTAACTTTTCTGTACAGACTACTTGCAACATCTTTTCACCCCTGCATTAAGAGGGGATTTGTTGTTAGACACCACAGCATTGTCCGATTAGGGGCTTACATTTGTAGGTATATTCTGCTTGGCCATGATACGGTCGTTAACTACATGACAATCCTGCTGAGAGGTGATAGAGATGTCCTCCCTTTTACAAGAGAATATGAAATATGTTTTCATACAATCACTTTGCTATATGTATCTCTTATTAAATCATTAATGTACTATTGCTTGAGCAGTGCCCATTCTATTACATTAGAGGTAGGTGTTCGCACTATCCCATGAACTATATATGTTATATACTTTTGATATAACTAGCTCCACAACCTGCCAATTTTATCCATGTGACTGACATCTGCTTTTCCCCTCCCCCTCCCATCACCCTTTTCCCTACCTAGATAGCCAACTAAAAGCTTCTGCTTTTAGTTGTGTTTATCTACTGATTAGCAGAAGTGCCTGTATGTCTTTCCCTACAGTACTTAGAATACTCCACACCTTTTGGTGCCAGACCAAAACCCAGTAATACACATTGTGATACACTTTTTGTCATAACACGTTTATCCATGATCATGCGTTGGTTTGTTTTTCTTACTTGACAATCTCTATCTTTCCTTTTCATGCCTTTGCCTTTTACCACACCTCCTCCCCCTCACTCCCCACCCCAATCCGTGATGTGGTTCTACCTAGGTGCACATATTTAAGTTACCCAAACCTCCAACTACAGTTTTTCTTCCCCACATCCGACCATGGCATTTAACTCGATGACCATTCATGCACAAGACTTGAACTCTCCATCTAAGCACAAGATAGTATTTAATTTTCTCCATGCTAAATAAATTGATGTGATGCACATCCAGAAGATGCACTTCCCCAAATCTTCAGGCCCAAAATATTTTTCTTTAACCTTCAACCAGGTTTTTCAGGCTTTAACCTTAACAAAATGGCGAGGGGCACCAATGGCTTTCAGGAAAGTAAAACCTTTTCAATGCAGCAAACAGATTGCTCACCGGCAAGGCCATTATCTTTTGCTGCAGGGCTGTTTGCAGGGATCACACTCATTATCCTTACATACTATGCATTAATATATCACAAATATCCTTTCTTTCTCATATAATGGTACTATCTTTGTTTCCCTGGTCTAAACCAGAACCTTTCAAGCATACAATGTGCAGACCACATTCTTTCCCATAAACCCCCATTTTTTCTTTTCCCCCTCTTCTTTTATTCATCTACTGGACCTTCCTCCCTCTCCCCCTCCCTTCTTCTATTTCTTCAGGAGCTAGAATTTATACTGTACCACAACATAAACGTTTTCTGTATCATTCGGTTACAAGCCAATGGTATATCCCTTGTTAATGGCGAACTGAATGTGAATACTGTTCTTTATCTTTTCTTTGTATGACTTTTTGCAAAAACCAAATAAAATATTTGTGAAATTAAAAAATGTATGAGTATTTTGTCAAAGCAAGGCTTATGACATTTTGTGACTTTAGGAAACTTCAGGCATTGTACACCCATGATTAGAGATTAATTTTCCACAGTTGGAGATTTGTCATGTGTTGTATGATGTGTTATCATCTCTGGTATACATATTAAAAGTAATCAATACTTAGTACAAGTCCAATAATTGTTTGTTTGTGTGTGGTATAGCGCAGCTCTTGTTTAGACATTTTCAGGACCTATAGTCTTTGAGCCTCTGGGATTGTTTGTGAAATCAACCTCAAGTCTTCCCATATCCATATTTCAGAACTGTCACAGAAACAGAGCACAAACATGTTATCTGTAAGGCTAAACCAAGCAAACCCCTTTTTCGAAGGGTTAGAATCTCTCTGAAGATTATATTATTGTATTTCTCCATGATGGGAATATTTTCCTCAGTTCCTGTCCTATGGACACTTCCCCACTTGATCTACTCTATCTAAAAGATTGCTTTGTAGGCAAAAGCAGAGACTCCATAAATATTATTGCTTACAGTATTTACAAACAAAATGGCAGTAGAGCAGCCAATTAAAATATTTTTTTTTTTACTGATCCAAAGGTAACTAAAATCTGATTGATTGATGTAGGTTGCTGCACATTACACATGATCCTTACACTATCTCTCTTAATAACTCAGAAAGTGCACTTGGTTCAGATCTGCATTTTCAAATCATGCCCTGAAAAAAAAAATCTAAAAGCTGTGGATCATCTTCATACCTTTCTAAAGCCAACATTTAGAGGTTTAACCACAAAAGCAGCAAACCCCTTTCAATAACTTTAGCAAATATTTCTCCAAACCCAGTGATTTATGAAATACCTACTACAAGCAGTCAGTTAGACATTGAGCTGTTTGATATGAAGAGATTTAGCAGCTACTGAACTAATATCAGACTCTGATTGTGGTGAAGCTGGTGTCCTATGAACTGCAATTGGTTTAATATACAGATGTCTTATCCAAGTTTTCCAGTAAATTTTTGCTTACATTGACTGGAAATGAGTTTTCTGGGACTAAATGTATAAAACAGACCAGCAGTCATATGCTGACCTGTTAAGTCAAATCAAATCACAGCCACCAAACAACTGGCATTCAAAGTGTTGACACATTTGTGCAGAAATAAAATTATCTGGAACAAAAGATTTTATGTGAAGGCTTTCAAGTAATAGTATTTTATTGTTTTCAGTCCCCCTTCCACTTGTTAAAACCCTTTATTCTTGATCAATGGAGGAATTTCCCATCACTAAAATAGAGCAGCAGTGTGGATTTATGGTTGAACTGAAATACAGAAAGCTTTAAAATTATCTTGACATTTTTGTTTCCTTTTTGATGGGCTGTTTTGCTGGGTGCTGCGTTGCTTTGTTCAAGAAAAGGGGATATATAAAATATTCTGTTTGTAGTTTGGAAGGTTTTTATTTTTTCCTAGCACATGAGAGATGACAGCTATATTATTTTATTTTAAGAGATTTCAGAAAAAAAGTAAATAGAGAGTCGATTGTGTTATAGCAGCTGTTCCGATACACATCCAAATGATGCAATTGGTTATATGACATGTGTGACACATTGCTTCTGCTGAAAAGCAAACTTCCATCCTTAAATATTACCTGCTCCAAGTACATTCAGCAGAGCAGTGTATTGACACGAACAAAGAGAAAGCTATAACAACCAATGCGGTTTCAGTTTACAATAGCTAAATCAATAAAAAACAAATGCGGATTTGCTTTAAAAGGCTTTGGATTCTCTTTACCTTATTTAATAAAGAAAAGGTATTTACTCTTTCTGGTTCCAGGGCCATGAATCCATCCCTGTGCACATGTAAACAGGCATTTTTACAGTCAGATCCCCTACAGCTGCTGTGTCTGCAGTCTATCATTGATTTTATACAGTCTGTGGCCCTGGCTGCACAGATTACTTGGGACTCCTGGGCACATATCTCATACCTGTATGGCCCTCTGTGGATGTGTGAATGAGCCCCTATTGTCTTCAATTAATACAGTTCCAACAGAACAGATAATTTTGCATGTAGAGGAAAAGTGATCTAATTTAAAAAAGAACTCCAGGCAAAGATGTTCTTAACTATTCTAGTGGGGCTACCCCCACACTGCAAAAGTTAAGTGCTCATTTTTGTCTAGGTGCTAAACGTTATACTCATCCGAACCGCTGAGCCGGCTGCCTGCTGCAGCATTGGAATATTCCCCAGCACCCTCTATACATGTTGTATAGAACATGATATTTTAGACCGCTGCAGAGGAGGGGGAGAGATGCTTCAGGGACTGGTCCAAGAAAAAGCAGGCTCAGAGGATCAGGTGAGAATAACGTTTTTTTTCATTAGACAAAAAAATGAGCAGTTAACCCTTGCAGTGCAGGATAGCCCCACTGCAAGCATTCAAAAAATGTTGCCCAGAGTTCTGCTTTAACCAATTATCTACTGATAATATATCCTTATAAGCATATCCTTTTCACCACCTTATAATTGAAAGATGTACAACAAGATATGAGTGCCTACATTTGCTGCTGCAGTTTTTTTGCAAGTAACTATATAAAACTCCAGCTTAAACACAAACACTTTACACACCGCTTTAATTGCTTGGAAATGGTCACATTTTGGTTTGTGCTTACCGTATTTTCTACTAAAATCATTTGGAATTTGGCGATATGTTTCAATATGGATTGGCAGTATACCTGTACTATTTCAATTCAATTCATTAAATTTATCTTCACAAGAAACGGAGCAAAATATTCTATTATGTTCAGCGGTTTATTGTTGTTTTGTAATGGCCCACTGTTCTTCTTACTGAAATGAGTACATTACTTGTCCTGTAGTCAGCCTTATTTCACATACATATGCATTCGCTACTCTCAAATGCATTAAGCATTACATTGGTGCAGGAATATTTACTATGGCATGCGGAGTTGATGTCTTTTGTTTATGGAACATGACACAGAAATAATACAGGTTATTTTGGGTACAATGAGTCTACATCTATTTACATTTTCTCAGCAGCTTGAGAATAACTGACATGACAAGTTTCTGTTTCCGAGATGCCGCTGTTACTCTGTTTCCAGACATTGCTGACATTTTTTTTATTGTTCCTAAGTCTTTAGCAATGCTATTTAAAAAAATGTCTTCTGCTATTGTTTCAGCTGGCAACTTGGGATTCCTTAAGAGGCCTTAATGGAAGCTTGCAAGAGAAGCGACTTGACAATGACCTACAAGGATTAACGCTGAAAGTGGTGACTATCTTGGTATGGTACTGCAAAACACAAAACAATGAAATGTTTCCTTTTTCATGTTGTGCAAAATTTGACAGTGATTTTCCCTGTGTCACTTCTCGGCTATGAGAGACTACATAAAATGAGGCAATAAAAACTGTATTTTGTACTGTTTTTACGCTTTAACAGAAGTCATACTTTGTGCAAACAAATAATCAGCCTTATATTTCCTGGATTGATATGCCCAAAAGTGAAGATAGTATATACTGGTGTAGAGGTATTTTTTTTTATAGCTGCCAATTGCACATTGTGTGTGCTGTTCAGAAAACAAAAGCCAAGCATGCAGCTATATTAAACACCTCTAGTTTCATCCTTTTGTTAATTGTTAACTTTCTTTCTACACATTTAATTTCAAATATGACCATATGAAACAAAGAGGCATATAAATTAAGAGTAGACAAATCTTGGCATTCACTGCTCATTTACCTAATACATCCACGCTAGTTATAAACATCCTTAGTGGTGGGCTCTGGGGGCAAATGCAAGGGGGGACAGTTAGAAATCCAAAATTCCCATTTGCAGCATGTCTGTGCTGCAGTTACTATTATGATGGGGAGTCTTCATAGAAAGCAACGGCAACTCATTGCCGCCCCCCCCCCGTGAGTGGTAAATGTAAGAGAATTGAGCCTGGAGGCTCTAACATTCACCATATTATAAATATATATGAAATATATACTGAATGATTCAGTTAAGAAATTCACTGTGATCATTTGTAGCTTTAAACCTATACCATTTTTAATTATAAAGGGTGCTACAGAAGACATTAACTATTCATCATCGGCTCCACAGAAGTAGTCTGATTAGTCTGGTGCACCACACTTTGGTGTTTTCAGGGCAGACATTGGACCCCAGAGTAGTGGGAACATTGATTTGTAGATAGGCTGTAACAGCAGTGATCTCTAGCAGTATCATGTAACATATGCACTGTGAATCATGACTGCCTCCAAATGATCCTGTAGAACAGTGTCCAACTATTTTATTTTGTAAGTATTCAGTCTATCACAGTTTTTCTGTAGCATTACATCAAATTAATATTATATGTGACCCTTTAGTGACATAAGGGGCCACATTTAAGGCCCCCTATGTCTTGTAAGTTGACACCCACTGAACTAGTCTTCAAAAGTTATGACTCATGACAGGTTATAATCGTGATGGCAGTAGTCTCAGAATCTACTCTGCACAGAGGTATTCCAGCTCACCAGAAAAATTTAAGGACCCACAGACTGATAGTGGACTTTAATGCGGCAGATTAACTCTGCAGTTAATGCTAACTCTAATTCTAACCTTTCAGAAATATCTATGATACTCGCTTCCACGCCCAGACAGAAGTGTACCAGAATTTAAAATATGGTACCTTCTTTACAGAGGAAAACAGTTCTTTCATTTCTAAATTAGGGCATTAGAGATTCAGTTTAATTCAGCAACAGCAAAATTAAAGGGATTACAATAAAAAAAGCCTTAACAAAGTTCACCTTGTCTTTAATTTTTCCTGTAGAGTCCAATTTTAATCAGAGTTCAATCTGCCAGAGCCACTGAATCTCATAAATCTGAGCATTCCAGGAGAAATCAAGAACTGCAGCTGCTGATAGCAGCAGCTTTTGGTTGACCCTCTAGAGGGGGTCACTGAGCCAACTTCTACCCAAACAAGAGCGCTGAAGGGTGCGAGGCAGGAGTTGAGGTGTTTTATTATACTTCACTGGACACTTCCTTCAAGTAGAGTCATGAATATACTCCTATAATGCATGTTTATTTGTAGTAATGTTGTATTATATTAAAAACACGTTCTAAAACCATGTTCTATACATTTCTAAACCCTCAGAAAAAAAATGTTCAGAAACCAGTACAATTTCCCTTTATAATGCAAGTTGGACAATGCACTTTTTGACACATTTTACCAGTAGTTATTTCACTCTTGTCACTGATCAGGACTCACGGGTATGAACTGGAGTCCAGTATGTGGACCCTTTCCACTACACTGGTAGGGACCCTCAGAGAAAAGGGTCCAAGCACTGTAGGCTGACGACTCCCAGAGCTGGAGTACAAGCAGGGGAACTGAATGAGGCAGTGGAAGTCAGCTAAAGCTGGAAGTTCAAATACAAGGCAGGGTGCTGCAATGCTGAGTAGGTGGCATGGCGTGCTGAGTAGGTGGCAGGGGTTCCCCAGGAGCTGGAATCTAAGAGCCAGCCGGTATGCGCCAGAGCTCCTGATGGTGGAGATGGGCTTAGCTGTGTGCTGACCCCAGGTCACAATCCCTAGGTCCACCCAAACCACCTAGCAGGTACAGGGTACAAATCAAAGGTTAGGGACAGGCTGAAGACTTCCAGGGACCAAGCGAAGTACAGCGTAGACTGTAGACGGGGATTTCCAAGGACAAAAGGGAAGCAGACGGCAGCCTGTAGACAGGGATTTCCAAGGACAAAAGGGAGGCACAGGGCAGCCGGTAGACAGGGATTTCCAAGGACAAAAGGGAAGCACAAGGAAGCCTGTAGACAGGGATTTCCAAGGACAAAAGGGAAGCACAGGGCAGCCAGTAGACAGGGATTTCCAAGGACAAGCCAAAGGTTCGATACACGGGAAAACTTCCAGGAATTCAGGGTAAATCACAAATGGGGGACTCGGCAACCAGCTTAGGAAAGCGTTGCTCGGGCAGCGTGCCGTTCGCTGCCCTTGGTTTAAATAGAGACAGGAAGAGGGAGAATACACAGGATTGGCTACAAGCAGACTGCACTGATTGGCAGAGAAGCTGCATAAGAAACAACAGGAGAGGTCGGCCGACGCCTAAACCTTGCAGACAGGTGCAAGTGTGAGTCAGGTTTAGAGAGCATGTCTGGAGGACTACAAGCACCAGCACACGAATCCGTATTGAGTTCAGTTATGAATTACGAAATACGAAATAACGGATATTCCGAAACGAAACAGAACAATTTTTTTTGCAGCTGAACTGTGACACTCTTTTGTCTGCTTTCATCATTTTTTTTACACTTGCTGTATTGCAGTTGTTGATACAGAAAATGTTCATGAATTGAGTAGCATCCAAAGAGAATAATGTGCAGGGAAATTATAAATAATTACTTTGCATGCCAAGGGCCGGTAAAATCAATGTTGTAGAATTCAAAGTAGACGTAAGCTGAATTTTTGTTCGTTTCAGATAAGTTTACGAATATGTGCTGTGAATACCACAGAAAGCCATATACAGATATTAATACTAAAGCTGAAGCTCCTAGACCCGATTCCAAATTTCCGAATACCATTCGGGAGCTCCAGAAAGCAATACGGGTCTGGGACCCATATTAAAGCTGAGGCTTCCAGACCCAAATGGCATTCAAGAGCACCCAAATGCAATTTGGAAATTTGGATGCCAAATGCCAATCGGGTCTAGGAGCCTCAGCTTTAGTATTAAATGCATATATATGGCTCCCATGTTGACGTAACGAAAATTAGTATTCAGACCCATTCGGATGCATTAAGCTGAAAATCACATCTGAAATTGGCTAGAAAAGTCACATGTCCAATTCCGTTTCCTTTTGTGAACGAAATTTGGATGGGATCTGAAATTCGGAAATGGAAATTTGGATTCGGACACATCTGGATGCATTGGGTATCGGAAATTCGGATGTGTCCAAATATCCGGCTTTTGGAAAATTCGTCCAAGTTTTTATTCGGAATTAAACAAATCGCACATGTCTAATTCAGAGCATGTGTGTTAGGAGGAGGGTGTTAATAGGTGATTTCAGATAGTACGACTACAGCAAACTGTACTTAACCACTTGCCATCCGCCCGTTGTAAAAAAACGGACGGAGGCACTGCAGCATTAGCGGGTTTCCGTCTCCAGGCGGCATTTTTTTCTGCTCGCGCGCGCCCCTTTGCGGGCACGCACGTGCAGAAAAGACCCGACCATTGCACACACCAGTTACCGGGTGTTTCACATATAGGCGATCAGCGGCTCCATAGCCCGCCGATCGTCTATATGTGCTCGTTCGCGTCCGATACCACCAAAAGAAAGCTCTATCTGTCCCCAAAAAAGGTTATAAAATTCATTTCAGTACAGCGCTGCATGACGGAATAAATGTCAGTCAAAGTACCGCAGCACTGAATACTGAAAAATGGCCTGGATGGGAAGGGGGTTTAACACCACGGATGTCAACTGGTTAATTACCACATTACCGCAAATGTGGTTATGCATGTCAGCAGATTGAACTTTCATTTTATATATGCAAATGAAATAAGACTTAAAAATAGTATATTTGCTCTTTTGTCAATTACTGAGCTTGTTTTATAAACTAAGTTTATTTTTCACTCTTAGGAAGAACCTTTTGTCATGGTAGCAGAGAACATACTTGGCCAACCAAAGAAGTATAAAGGTTTCTCAATCGATGTCCTTGATGCATTAGCTCAGAACCTTGGTTTCAAATACGAAATTTACCAAGTCCCTGATGGAAAGTATGGACACCCCCTTCCTAATGGTTCCTGGAATGGCATGATAGGTGAACTTATAAATAAGGTAATGAACACAGCTAAGAATATCCCATTCATGACCAAGGCAAAACAAACCTAAACCCATTTTAGCAACTTGGGTATGTGTTTGTGAAACTATACATGGCTTTGCAACTACTTACTGTATCCAGGGGAATTATACCTTGTTTTTTAGGGTAAACTGGGACTTAATGGGGTGGTAAATGTTTATGGGTAATCACATTTTCTTATCAATTGAAATAATAACAAAAATATGTTTAAACCTTTATATATTGTTTGCCATTACCATGACCTACCATCAAAAAACAGTTCAACTCTTAATGTGTATGGGGATACCACATACAGGTGAAACTCGAATAATTAGAATATCGTGCAAAGTTCATTTATTTCACTACTATCATTTGTTGTTTGTATCCTTAGTAGGGCCAAGAAACAAATGAGCACATTTTGATTTTTTTTATCCTACCTAATACACACTGACAAGAACACTGAACCTAAAGGCTAACACTGACACGAACACTAACCTAGATCAAACCCTCATTTATTGTATCTTATTTTTGTAAACAGACTTTTTTTTTTTTTAACTGGTGAGTACAGGGGAAGGTTCTAAAACTAGTGATCACTGTAATTATACAGTATATGTAGCATCACAGAAGAAAGCCCACCTCCACGTGACGCTGCATATATGTGTTATCTCAGTGGAAAGGTGATATACTTATTCCTCTAGACTTCATAATACAAATTTTGCATGTTAACCATAATCATAGTCAGTTCAGTTACTGCATGCCTGTCATTTTTAAAATGTTTATTGCATATTAATATGGTTATTGACATTAAAACCCCAGAACTTACATTTTTTAATGCTTTAATTATCAACTAAAATAATATAAAGGGATTTTTTAGGAACAAGGGTTTTTCTTAGAACCCATCTGTTCCCTTTTGCACCTAATGGAATATGATTACAGAATATAAAGCAAAGACACCTGCTTGTATAATCTTCTGTATGGTCTGTTGGGGGGTATGCATTTGTATGGTGGTGTAGTTAGTTAAAAACACATATTTTTTATTTCATTTTATTTGCAATTGTCCATTTCTATGTATAAATCGCCTGCATATTCGTAGCAAGCAGTAAAAGAGCTTTATAGCAAACCACCTCTCTAGCTTCTAGTACTCTCAAGTAAATAATTCTCAAATATTGCAACAAAGACTCTAAAGTCAGTTTCAGTTTGTTTCTAACAGCTTAGAATACTAACACGCTGAGTGTTTAAAATAGAGGGCTGGCAGTCTTCTAAGATTCTGCCTTCCTCCTAATAGAAAGTAACAGAAAACAAATAAGGTTTCTGATGCCTTTTTTTCTGAACTTTGAAGAGGAATTTATCCATGATTCCCATAGCTACAAAGGTGAATAAGAGCTTTTTTTGTTTGTGTTCTGCTTGTTCATAATATGTAAATACTTTTATGTGCATAGTCTGTGCACAGGTTCACTTTGTTTGCTAGGTCAGGTATTGTTTCATTGCATATTTACAGTCTGTGGCAAAGTTAAATGTCCTATGGCATGCTTTTGAAAACTGTAGTTAAAAAGGTAAGCTTCTGTTTTTTTTTTACTTGACTACTATTTTTTTTTTTACAAAGAAGAACTATTGCCTTTTCAATATTTTTTTAGGTATATATGTAAAAATGCCGGCTACCATAAATGTAAATAATTGTACAAAAGTATGCTTTTTTTTTTTTACAAACCTTGTTTTTTACATATAGTTTTAATTATACAATATGTACATGCGAACAGCCATATTAGCTTATTACTTAGGATGGTTTTGATTCCTGCTTATCCTCTTATCTCATTTATGTGGTCTGTTTGTAGTCATGCTCCCACAAAGCACTTTTGAGCCACCAGAGACAATGTCATCTTTGCACAAGCCTTTTGTGGCATGATGGAGCCCTTCATGTACTTTATTAGTAAAGAATGATTTTGATAAGCTTCTGCATATTTTTCCACAGTAGTTTGAGCTAGTTGTACATTTGCCATATAACAGAAACACTGAATTAATCACTAGCATTGTGTCCAGGTTAAAATACACATGAAAGTACTAATAAGTGATAGCAGTATATGTTGCTGTTTCATATATTTATTTCTATGTACTCAATTATTTTAAATAAAAACTAGTTGAGACAATATAAATAATAATCATGGTGTAATGCCTAACCACTTTCTTCCTATTCTTGTAGAGAGCAGATATTGCTGTATCAGCTATCACCATTACTCCAGAACGGGAAAGCGTGGTGGATTTCAGCAAACGTTACTTAGATTATTCTGTAGGAATTCTTATCAAGAAGCCAGAGGAAAGGATAAACATTTTCTCACTCTTTGCTCCCTTCGACTTTGCCGTGTGGGCCTGTATTGCAGCTGTGATTCCAGTAGTTGGAGTACTTATTTTTGTTCTCAATCGTATCCAAGCCGTGAGAGCGCAGACCTCATCACAAGCAAATGCATCTACATCCTCAACTCTACACAACGCTATATGGATTGTATACGGGGCATTTGTTCAACAAGGTATGCAATTAATTCAAGTTTTATTGCTGCTTGCCAAAGGTCCCTTGCTAACTTGATAGTGTAATCTGAAATATATTTACATAATGCATTTAATAAACATGTAAATTAATTGTTTCAAGTCAATCTATAATTAAGGTCATAGAAGTAATGGTGTATCATAAAAATATTTTACATATAGTATTTATGCACTGTCACATTTTATTTTCTGTGACCTTGCCTTATTAGAACACCATTGTGGTTTGGCAAGTTAAAACTGAACTCTAAACAAACAGCTAAGTAATTAAATACATATACTAGAGCTGTTTTACCTGCCAGATGTGTTCCTGTCCATCCAGTACATAGATCTGCCACACAGTACAGTCAAGCCGACTGATGATGAGGCAATTGCTTCTCACTCCTCCGATAAGCATGTTCCTTGTAGGCACATTTGATTGCATTCCCCATCAACCTCCACCAACGCCTTCTTTGTGTGCTTGACTGGTTGGTCTGTCCTCCATAGGGTATAAGTAAACCATATAAACCCACAGCACTGAGTAACCTTACAAAGAATGCAATGTTGCTTAAATGTACCATGGATACATGTGTATATACTATAAATCTGTAGACACTTTCAACAAATATTGTGCTTTTGCCCTATTTAGGGCTCACAACTTCACTAAATGTACAGACACCATCACCGAAAGTGCAGACTGCAGGGAAAGTCCACAAGCCCTGCCTTATGTGACACTCTCTTTAGTGGTGAGGGCAGGAGCCCAGATGTGTCATTTATCTAACGCTTCCATAGTCAACTATAATACTCAGTTTTATTTTGCATATAAAATGCAATCCAATAAAATAAATAGAAAACACCAAAGTGGTTTCTAAAATCTTGCAATACAGTATACATTGTTTAGAGTTTCAGCAGTGCAATAGGTTTTTTTAATTATTTAGTTTACTGCTTTGTATTATTAGGATAGTCCTAATTCTTTGTCCTATTTCTCAGTGTTGTGGTCTTAAAACATCTGTAATATGTTTTTTTTCCAAATACATATGTTTCTGTGTCTGGAAAATAAATGACAGTTCTGGTAGCCACTTTCATTTTAGGTGTAAATATTTTCCAAATTTAATATACAATGACCTTATCACATTGCTCTCCTGGGAGGTATTCAGACCTACTGGCCAAAGAGGGAAATGCAGATTCTGCACACACATTCTCTTCACTTGTGTCTTTTTAAGATGCACGCTCACTTTTAGATTCTGTGACAGGTCAAGTTGTCTTGATAGCAAGAGACCTGTACTAAGGAAGAATGTAGGCTGTCATGGCTGACCTCTCCTCTAGAAAATGCCCATCGCCTGGCTGTCATGCTGAGCCAAAAATATATAAGGTAATGAACACAGCTAAGAATATCCCATTCATGACCAAGGCAAAACAAACCTAAATCCATTTTAGCAACTTGGGTATGTGTTTGTGAAACTATACATGGCTTTGCAACTACTTACTGTATCCAGGGGAATTATACCTTGTTTTTTAGGGTAAACTGGGACTTAATGGGGTGGTAAATGTTTATGGGTAATCACATTTTCTTATCAATTGAAATAATAACAAAAATATTTTTAAACCTTTATATATTGTTTGCCATTACCATGACCTACCATAAAAAAACAGTTCAAAATAGATTCCCCTACTCTTAATGTGTATGGGGATACCACATATATGTGCATCATTTGTTGTTTGTATTCTTAGTAGGGCCAAGAAACAAATGAGCACATTTTGATTTTTTTTATCCTACCTAATACCTCTCCTCTAGAAAATGCCCATCGCCTGGCTGTCATGCTGAGCCAAAGGCTTCAAAAATGCAAAGTCCCATATCTTCAGCAAGTATGGAGGAGCAGGATTGCTCACCTAAATCACCCAAGCTCTACTTTAGTGCAGTGTTCTTTTTATGTTCAAAATGGTCATGCAGTTCCTCGATTTTTTTCTATTTTTTCCCCCCTTTTATACAAAGGACCAATATCAGCAAATTTACTATAACAAGTTTTAATGAAAAAAATATTAAAATGAGAATATGAATATCATCTTATACATCTTATAAAGCTATTTTGTTTCCTGCTGTGGCTTGATTATGTTCATTGGCATGAATACATTTTCCTCTTAAGTGGATGACAGCGGAGATAAAAAATGTGGATAGAAATGTAATTGTATGCCTAAAAACAGAATCTCCTAGAATAATATATTAGACTGATAGAGGAGCAAGGCTGCCCAAACTCATCCTCAGCACTAAAGCCATTTATTTTATTGCAGGTCATTTTTGTTTTGGGTAGAGCTCATTGTTTTTTCTCCTTAACTTATTCTTATGGGTCTTGTTTGAGTCTTGTTTGGGTGTGCTCAGGGTCGGTGCAAGGATTTTTGCCTACGCAGGGGAAGGAACATTCCCCCCCCCCCTCCCAGTGCCCTCCCCTCCCAGCACCCTCAGATGACTGTCTATGCATCCTTACACTAACGCTAGCCCTGTATAGACATCCCATAAAGCAGCACTCCAAAACTAATAGGAGATCTGAGATATCCATGTTACCAATTATCTCAGAAGCATGTAGAAAAAAGGAAGACCATCAGCTACTAGTGCCTTATGTGAAGCCACAAGCAATGACACCACAAATAGTTTGTATTTGGGTGCTTCATATTAAAGACACCCCAAAGTGCATCACTCCAGGAAGCAAAACTTAGATGTCCATGGTACAACTCCCCAGCATTTGGGAAAAGAATGACCATCATCTACAGAAGTCCTATATGTAAAGCCACATGCATTGACAACCCAAGTCCATTACCATGGAGCACCCCAATACAAGGACGCCCCCCCCCCATAGATCTTCACTCCAGAAAGCCATACTAACAGCAGAAAACAAGTGACATTAACCCCTTCATGACTGAGGCCCTTTTTTCATTTTTTGCACCCATGTTATATTCCACATTTTAGGCCTGAAAATGACATAAAACCCCCCAACATTATATATTTTCTGAATGCCAAGACCCTATAGAATAAAATGGTGGTAGTTGAAAATGTTTATGTTGCGCAATATTAGCGCAACTCCTTATTAAACCCCAAAATTTAGTGACAAATTTAATTAAATGCCCCAAAACACAACAAATTACCCATTTTTTAAATGAAATATAAAAGATGAGGTTACAACGAGTAAAACGATACCCAACATGCCCAGTTTACAGATTGCGTGCGACCGTGAAACGGCGAAAAACTGCAGTACCCCAAAAAGTCAATAAAAGACGCTTTAAAAGCCCCCACAGGTCATCAATTTAGAGATACAACAAAATACTGGCCCTAGAATTATTGCTCTCACTCCGGCGTGCGCCGGTGATACCCAACATTGTAGCGCGTTCGTCGTTTTCATGCGTAGGCGCACCCGACGCGTGTTTACGTGGCGACGCGCGTGCTCGCGGGGGCGGGGTACTTTTAAAATTTTTTTTTTTTTATTATTAGATTTATTTTATTTCATTTTAATTTTAAAAACTGTTTTTTTTTTTTTTTTTTATTTACTTTGACTGCTATCACATGGGGGGGCTTGCAAGCCCCCCCATGTAATAGCAGATGGTGGTGACAGGTCCTCTTTAAGGTGATGCTGGGGGTCCAAAAGACCCTCAGTGTCACCTTTACACTAGAAATAAGCTATTGAAGTGCAGATCGCACTTCAATAGCTTATAGCTGGGCTGCAGGAGCCCAGAACTGACAGCCCAGGGACCGGAAGTGATGCAATCTGCATCGCTCCCGGTCCCATAGAACGGGGAGGGGATCGATGAACGGAAGTTCGTCGACCTCCTCCCCAGCTCCCCGCGGACACAAAGATCGCCGGTCCCGGGCCCGTAGGAGGGGCAACGGAGCCCGGGAAGCACGGCGGGGGTGTCCGGCGGCCCCTTCTTCGGGACGCAGAAGCGATCTGGCGACACGTAAGTCGCCAGGATCGCTTCTGTTGTAAAGCCGACAGTCGGCTCTACAAGTTTAAACAGACTCCCGGCGGCAAAAGTCGCCGGGAGTCTTTTTAAACAGCCCCGATGCTGGCGACGTACGTCAGTCACGAAGGGGTTAAACTTATGTTATCTCCTTCAGGACTGCGTAATGTAGATAAACAGCAGCATCCTTTAGCAGTGTTACCAAGATTACCCTCTGCTGCAGCCGTTTAAAAACAACTGGAGATGGCTGTTTCATGTATAAGCAATCCAGCAGCTATACAGCCACCTAATTGCTTGTACAGTGCTGCCAAGTGTGCCTGCCCCCACTCCGCTGTTTCCTGTGCGGGCCCAGGACTGGCACAGCAGGTCTGTCCTCTTTGATTGGAGGGAGATCAGCGAACTCCCAGCTGCTGAGCTCTCCTTTGATCACTGGACCAGGAAGTTATGTGTTTTACATCACTTCTGGTGTCACTCTGTAATTTCTCTGGCTGCTATTCGCATTCACATATATATTCACTTTTTGTGCTTTTTCGCTTGCAAATTCGTCAATTGCATAATAGACCGATTACACTGTAAACACATTTGATATACAATATGTATCAAAAATAATGTGTCCTGATGAATCCTGAAACATCCATTGTGGCTGCTGATGGGTTGAAGTTGGCAAAAATGATACAGTATGTAATAAAATGTTAGGAGACCCTAACTGAGGTATTCTCACTGACCAGCAATGTAACAGAGGTATTCTCGCTGTCCAGCAATGTAACAAAGGTATTCACACTGATCGGCAACGTAACAGAGGTATTTTCACTGACCAGTGATGTAAGGGGGATTATAACTGACCATTAATGTAACAGAGGTATTCTCACTGACCAGCAAAGTAACGGAGGTATTCTCACTGACCAGCAATGTAACGGAGGTACTCTCACTGACCACCAATGTAACAGAGCTTTTGCTCAATGTTCAGCAATGTAAGGGGGTATTCTCATTGACCACCAGTGTAACTGAGGTATATACACTGATCCATTGCATTGCTGGTCAGTGTATATACCTCAGTTAC